AAAAAAAAAAAAAAAAACCTGGAAGGGCCAGCCAAATAGCTCAGCGGATTAAAGCACCTGCAAGCAGGCACGGGGCTAGGGGTTCGATTCCCCAGCCTGCTGTGCGGGCCCCGCCCCGGGCATGCTGAGATGGCCATTGAGACTGGGTGTGGTGGTACACGCCTGTAATCCCAGCTGTAAACGGGGATCACTAGGAGTCCAATCTAGTAGCGCTTGAAAACCCTTGTAGGCCCTTCCTTAAGATACAAAAAAAGAGTGAGAAGATAAATGAAATTCCAAAACAATTTAGAGGGTAACAATGCTTAATACATTGCTTTTTTCTTTCTTTTCTTTTCTTTTTTTTTTTTTTTTGCAGAACCGGGCATTGAACTCAGGCCCTTGCCCTTGCCACTTGCCAGGGAAGCGCTTATTCCACTGAGCCATCTCCCTGGCCCAATACATTGCATATTGATAGCTTTCAATTAGTTACTCAGAGTACACGATATCAACATTTAATTGTCCATATATTGTCCATATTGGCACAGACCTGCCTTTTCAGTGGACTAAGAAAAATGATACATGTATTCATCCTTTTGCTTTTTCCTTCTTTTCTTCATTCCCAACCCAGTTAGTTTTCTTTCCTTTTGGAGTTTCTTCCCATTTTACAGTATTTATTGTACATTTTGGATCTTATTTACTCTTTCAGCTTCTCACACCAGGGAGACAATGTAATGTTTCCACATTTGCATCTGCTGTATTTCACTTATGAGTACGGACTTGAGTCGCATCCATTTATCCGTAAAAGCCTTCAGTTTCTCTTTCTCTATGGCTGAATAGTACCCCATTATATAAAAAGACCACATCTTTTTTTATCTGTTCCTAGTTGATGGGCATTTGGGCTGTCACAAACTCTGCTATAAACATGGGTGCAGATATATCCCTGTGGTATAATGTTTTCAGTTCTCCTGGGAAGACACCTAGGAGGGGAAGAGCTGGTGGAATGGGACCTCTGCTAGTTTTCGAGGACTCTCCACACTGATGTCCTACAGTCTACATCCCCACCAGCAGTGGAGAAGGGTTCCTTTTCCCCACACCCTTGCCAGCACTTGTTGATTTTTTGATGATAGCCATTCTTTCAGAGTGAGATGGAATATTAGTGTTGTTTTAGTTTGCATCTCTTAAATGATCAGTGATTTTAATCATTTTTAATATACTTTTTTGATGACACTGAATAGAGCCCAGTATGGGGGCTACTTTCTTGTTTACTTCCTAATACAAGTCTGTATTTCATTTGAGAAGTGTGTGTTCACCTCAGGTGCCCATTTTTAGTTTCGATCTTTGAATTTGGTAGGTCTGATAATTTTTTTCTTTCTTTTTTTTAATTTTAGGTGTGATAGTCTTTGAGTTCTTCATATGTTCTCAATAGTAATCTCTTGTCTGAGGACCAGCCAGCAAACATTTTTTCCCACATTGCAGGTTGTCTCTTTGCTCCATTGGTGATTCCTCTTGCTGTGCAAAAGCTTTTTATTTTATTTTGTTTTATTTTAAAAGCTTTTTAATAACATGAGATCCTGGCTGTTGATTCTTTGTGATACTTAATGTGCTATCACAGTTTTATTCATAAAGTCTTTGCCTACACCAATGTCTTCAAGAGAAAAAAAAAAAGTCCTAAAACGTGAAAGGAAAAGAAAGAAAAAAAGGCCAGGTGTGATGGCACACACTTGTAATCTCAGCACTCGGGAGGCTGAAGCAGGAGGATCGTTGAGTTGAGACCAGCCTGGGCTACAAAGTGAGCTGAAGGCTGGCCTGAAATGCATAGCAGGACCACCGCAAAAGGAAAGGGGAGGGGGCTGGGATATAACTCAGTGTGAAAGCTCTGAGTGTAATCCCTAGTACAAAACCCAAAACAAAACAAACCAACCAACCAACCCAGGCCCAGGGCTGGGCGGCAGCTGGGTGCATGCGGGAAGCCCTGGGCCCCATCCCTGACAGCAGGAAGGCTCCTCCCACTCCGCACCGCCCAGCTGACCCTCTCCTCCTCCTGCAGCCAGCTGTTCTTTGTCCTGGCGTCGTTGGCAGTGGAGCTTTGGAAACTGAACACTGGACTGGTGCTTCTCTCTCGATACAGAGCCTGAGTGTTTCCTGAAATGTCTCTCTCAGCCTTCCCCTTTTCCCTCTTTCCACTGCTCCATCATTCTGTCTCTTTCTCTGTATCTCTGTCTCTCTTTGTCTCTTTCTGTCTCTTTCTCTCCTTACAGGGTGTCACAATGTGGCCCACTCTGGCCTTAAACTCAACAATCCTCCTGCCTCAACCTCCTGAACATTGGGATTATGGGAACATACCAACATGTCCAGGAAAATCACTCATTCTCCTTTCTTTTCCCTCCCTCCCTCCCTCCCTCCCTGCCTCCCTCCCTGCCTCCCTCCCTCCCTTCCTGCCTCCCTCCCTCCCTCCCTCCCTCCCTCCCTCCCTCCCTCCCTCCCTCCCTCCCTCCCTCCCTCCCTTCCTGCCTCCCTCCCTGCCTCCCTCCCTGCCTCCTTCCCACCCTCTCTGCTGAGATCAGACCCAGGGCCTTGGTACTCTGCAAGTGCTCTGCCCCTGAGCTCTGCATGAGCTAGCTGTCATCACCTTTAACCTAGAGCACCGCATTTGCCTCCAGGCCTGTCTGTCTCTAATCTCAACTTCCATACTGGGAGCTGAACCCAGGGCCATCACATGAACTATATCCCCAGCCCTTTTTTCTTTCCAGAGGGTCTCACTGTGTTGCTAAGTAGCCCAGGATGGGCCTGAACTTGTGATCCAGAGCACTGGGATTACAGGCTTGTACCAACACACATGGCTTCCTTTTTCGTTAATCTGTCATTCCAAAATGTTGCCATTCTAGCACAGATCTGAGCATCCCACGGCATTTTTTTAGAAACCTTAAGCAGAAACAGAATAGCAGGAAGCTTCCCCACTTCCTGCTGGATGAAGGTTGGCATCTTTAGAGTATGATTTTGTCGTGCAAAGCTCTGGCTTCCTCTTGCCCACCTGTTTTAATCCTTCCTAAATTCCTTGTCAGGGGCCGGGAAGATAAACGCTTGACTGGCAGACGCAAGGTCTGAGTTCAATCCCCGGTTCTGGAAAAAAAAAAAAAATTCCTTGTCAGTCCTCTCCTGCTGGGCCCTTCCTGCATGCGGCCACTTGCCCCTGTGGAACCACGGCTTGCCTGTGTCTACACTCTTCTCTCTGGAAAGTGTTGTCTTTTTTTTTTTTTTTTTTCTTTTTTTTGCAGTTCTGTGACTTTATTTCCAAGTTAGTTCTCATCCACATTCAC